GAGAGAGAGAGAGAGGCAGCGAGATTTTTCCCCACCGCTTGGAAAAACCAATCCCCCACCAGCCGGGTACCGTGGGGGCAGGCGGCGGTGGCGGCGGCGTGGAAGAGACGCGCGGCGGGCTGCGGGGGCGACGAAAAGAGGGGACGAGGAGGGTTACCCAGGGTGGTCTCGGTGGTGGCTGGGGGCGGCAGCCTCAAAAATACACCGCAACCACACCGCGCGGCTCCACCGCAGAAGCCGCCATCTTCCACCGCCGAACCGAAACGAGACCGCGCGAGTTAAACACCCTATCCTACTTCCTCCGAGTAGAAGCTGTCCTGCCACCCGCCGAAGCAACGGCCAGGTGAAGAATCACCATCGCCGACTGACGGCGACTGACTCTGACGGCGAAGGGGACATTTGGGACATCTTGCGATCCTCCGAAGCAGAAAAATTTCAGAATCAGTGTCAGTGTGCGCGGAATATAAAAATATAACCGCGAATCGTGATCGTCGCCTCAATCGTTGCTGCAAGTTGCAAACCTCAATCTCAGTGTTTTAAACAAATTTTAAATCATTTTATTTCGTATGTATAAATAATATGTTTTCGTGATTGATCAAGATTTCGATCAGCGAGAGAGATACACGTGACGGTCGCCGCTCTCGCGCGCGGCTCTCGCCAAAGTTCGGCGAAACTTCGCGCGGTGAGCGCCACGCACGCGAACATATGGTTTGATTCGAAAAAGGCGTCCTGGCTCATGGTTATATCTCCCGATGTAATTTTAGTGAAAACACGCAGAGAAAAAAAAAAGTGCACAAACGTAACGCCATTAATCATGAGGACCACCACAGTGCGAAGCAGTGCTTTAGACACCTAACTTAACCTAATAATAAGAAGAACGTCTCTATGAATCTACGTCTGTTGATTTCCGATTCGACAAGCGGATTTAAGCAGTGTTTTAAGCAACCGCGAGTGCGTCTTCGATAAGACGGTCGGTAGGCAGAAGGCTCTCGATCAAAGAATCGAGAAATACGTAGAAACAAGGGTCGCCGAGATTGCCGACGATTCCAATAAAACGAATTTTCTCCGCGAGTTAGCAATCGAGACGAGGAAGAATTTGCAAACGGATGCTTTTCCTTTCCCGTCCCGCGGCAGAATAATGAAATAAGGATCAAAGAACCCAGGGCCCGCCAGGGGCAGCCGAGGAAGCCGTGCGAGGAGTCGCGCGTGCCTCTCGAAGAAAACAAATCCAATTCTCGCTGGGAGAAGATATTCGGCGTACGTTCGTAATGCGTTCCTCGCCATTAGTAAAACCGAAACTTGTGCTTGCAAGGTTCTTAGATTGTTGCCGAGTGGACTGACCGGTCGAACACAGCAATCAATTCTAACGACGAGACTTCGAGGTTTGCGGAATAAGAGATTGTAACTACTTAACAAAGTAATATCACAAACGCAGACGTATCATCAAAGGACCAAGTATCATATCGAAATTAGATCACAAGGTTCGATCTCTTCTCCTCGCCTGTGTAGATCACAATTGTACAACATTAGAATTCGGCAAGGATAAGGCGTAAACAATTGAGCAGCCCAACCTATTCGGGAAGCACACAGGGAAAGGTGACGTCTCGAACGAGAGAACCAATGATATCGTTCTCATGACGAATCCTTCGCGAGATGTTCGACCTGAGGATCGGCCTCCCGGCCTAGACTATTCTGATCCTAGGTCAGCGCGTGGCAGTAGTCATCAGGCGCATCCAGCAGTGAGCCAAATCGGCGGGCCCAGATTACGGAGGACTCGGGCCTCGTCGTCGAGGAGAAGAATGCACTTGGCCAACGAGGTCCCTCCTCAAGGTTCCGCCGGCGGAAATCATCTTCCCGATTACGCTCTCACCGCTGATTTACTTGCCGAGAGGACACTGGACGGGCTTCTCGCCGAACATCCCGGGGAACTTATTCGAACAGGTAAAAATGTAATATTTATGTAATGTACAAATAATTTTACTATATTTTACGGTGTTATTTTTTTTTTTTTATTCACTCTGTCATATTTTTATCGTAATACGGTAGACTAAAGAAGCAAAAAAAAAATGAAGTTGAATACAATGAGTAAATTGAACAGAAATTTTAGAAATATAGCTTCACTTTTTATTTCAGAAAATTATTATATGAAAAAAACCTTTTCGATTTCTCTTTTTAAATATAATCTTAAATCTTGGAAAATTATTTTCTAATTATATATATCTGAAATATAGATTGGACGGTGTTGTATATATTGTATAATAATAATTTGATTTAATAAATATAGATTTGTCAATTCAAATAAAACTATGACTTGTTTATGTTGATATAAGGTTGTCCACATGTCGTGTGCACGGTATTGCCATCACATTGGAGGTCAAACAAGACTCTTCCGGTAGCCTTCAAGGTAGTAGCCCTCGGCGAAGTCGGAGACGGTACCCTCGTAACTGTCCGGGCCGGAAACGATGAGAATTGTTGCGCGGAACTACGAAATTCTACTGCCCTAATGAAAAACCAAGTCGCCAAATTCAATGATCTTAGGTTCGTCGGTCGAAGTGGTAGAGGTAAGTAATATTATATCATTACATTCCTTTATAATTTAAATAATAATTATGACAATAATTCCTAATTTATATAATTACGATATTTCTTTAAATATTGATGCGACAAAGCGCTTAAAAGTAAACATCATTTCTCCTTCCTCACAATTGATATCTCTGCATATTTGCTTTACAAAAATAATTCTCTCGCTGACTGATGTCGAAAACTTGATCGGTTTTTCTTCTGGTTCGCCTTCTCCCGACGCGGCGTCTTAAATCATTCAGGCTTCTCTACATTAAGGTGGTGCCCCGACTGATGGCCTCGTTTTTCCCGCGTCGAAAGCCAAGCACGGGCCACCACCTGGTCCCTCGTTCCGTCCTCATTTTTAATTCACGCGACAAATATCGTGACCCGGTATCTCCTCACGACTGCTATCCACGCTACGCCACGTCGAAGTAAGACAGCGCGCGCGGAGATTTTTTTTAATTCCCGACTCCGCGTTTCAATAATTCAACGTTCCTTTCGTCCTCGAAGGAGGCGGCGCGCAGGGCGGTAAGGAGAAAAAAATTGGGGTCCGCAGTCTCTGAATAATGCTCCCTAATAATCGCAGCCATTACGGATGGTTAATGCAAACGTTCGCTCCTTGAAGAGGAGCCGAAGTAGCAAAGGAGGAGGGAGAGAGGGTGGGAAGAAGCGGTACAAGAGAGGATCTAGATCGCAGCGGGAAAAGAGCAAACTTTTCAACTTTCCTTTTTTTTTTCTCTCTATCGTCTCTCTCCCTTTTCCACGTGTAGAGGTCGAGGTAGGGAATCGGAAGATACGAATAACGAGGCGTCCTTTAATTCCTTTAATTCGACCGAGTTGCACCACTGTTCTCTTCCGTCCGCCTTCTCCCGTCGCTCTCCCTTTTCCCGTCTTTTTCCCGACGACGTCGAACTTTCGAGAGAGCAGTCACGAGCGTACCCGGTTAACGAGGGGGTGGTCGACTTGTTTATGGCAAATTGGAAAAGGAAATTGCGGGGTTCGCGACATCGACAACTTCCGCGCTACTTTTCTCCGACGGTAGGCCCTAAACGGTAGGTCCTCCAGTCTTCTTCTTCTTTTTCTTCTTCTTCTTCCCGCGGATCCGATCGGCTCATTTCGGCGTTTTATCCCTATCCCGATAAACATACGGCTATAAATTATCGTTACAATTTGTTCTCACTGTCTTTTTCTGTCTTATCGACATTTGATTTGCGAGCCGTATTAAGCTCGAAGCGTCATTCAAATGGCGTTTACAATGCTGCGTCGGTCGCATCGCACATTGGCCTTTTCCACTCCAAAAATGAAGAGATCCAAGATACTCATCACGGAACAATAGACCCGGGAAACGATTTTCAGAATTTTTTAGCGAATGAAGATATCGCGGATATATAGGAAATTGTGGGATGGGGAACGGCGAAGCGTGAGCGAGAGGGACGAGAAGCGCGGGGGAGGAGGGCGAAGGGGGGTAGATGGAGGTAGAGTGGTTGGCTGTAAGCGGCTTTGGTTTCCATGGCAGTAAGCCCTCATTACTGTATTACGGGCAGCCCCTAACTACCGCCGGTATGCAACGATTTGCCTTTAGATTCCCTATATGAGAGTGATGCAAGATCGTTCCGCGCGCGGCATCACGATTCGGCCGAATCGGCCGGATTTTTCCTTTTCCGCACCGTATCTGACGCACCGCCGACGAATTTCGGACGCGTTCCGAGATTAGCTTGAATCCTGTCCATCCATCGCGGTACGGTTTCAAATGTTCAAATACGGGATACGGGAGAAACAACGGGCGCGTGCGACAGATATGCCTGGCAGACAGGGAGAAAGATCTGAAAAAGAACGGG